ATCTCCACTATATATTTTTATGACATTCACAACTTCATATCCTATATTGGTTGTGGTTAAAACAAAGGAGAGAAAACAATAACTATAAATGAGAAAGATATAAGTGGTACTTGGAAAAAACTGAAAGTTCAAAGAAAAGGAGATGGAGAAGGGCCTCTCTAAAGGTGTGATGAACCAAAGGAATGAGAAATCCAAGGAAATAAAGGAACATGAAAAATAGGAATCACCGGAGCTCATGGAGGAATAATCAGAGTTTACGAAGAGAGGAGAAAAGTTATAATTCTTGCAAAGAGTGGAAACATACCTTGAAGGATGAAATAACCTTTATATAGTGGAATGAGATAGACAAATCAACTACGCAAAATAAAGGAAAACAAACAAATGAAAAACAATTGTCATATTTTCCTCGAGATTGCAACAACACTTGTGTATACTTGAGCATCCTAAAGGGAAAAGACACATTTTATCCTAGGGCCACATATAAAGAAAATCATGTGAAGCATCTGAATGATGACATTAACATTTAATGTGCTTGTTTCCAAGGTCGCTCACTCCGACTTTCTAAATCTTTTTTACTTCTACAAAGAAAGGACTTGTTGTGAAGATTCAGGCCTAGGGTGACACCGACCAATATTTTAAAATAGACGATTTCTTTTCCCCCCTTATAGGTTCTCCTAAACCCTTGACGAAAAGTTAAAAATGCCTCCAATTTTCAAGGATGCATCTATGGACGCACCATTTTCACACAAAATAAGCGCAGATGAGTGAGGAAAATTTTTAAGGGGTATATTCAAAGATGCATCTTCGAAACACCCCATAATATATTAAATACAAACGTTTAAATAACTAAAAATGTACTCATGAATATTTTCAGAGACACATCTTCGAATTAAGTTTTGGCAAAAATGGGGTGGCTGCGTTAAGATAACTAAAATTGGACTCAAATATTTTCAAAGATGCACATAAATTAATTTTGGTAAAAATGGAGTGACTGCGTTAAAATAGCTAAAAATGCACTCAGGAATGTTTTCGGAGATGCATCTATGAATTAAATTTTTGGCAAAAATGGGGTGGTTGCTTAATTTACAAAGGATGAAGCGATATAAGGTGTATCCGGAGATGCATCTTCGAAAAAATTTGAGGGAAATTTTGGGTTTTCAGAGGTGCAAGACACACCATAAGGGTGGAAAAAGAATTTGTCTTAAAATATTTCTCGTTGCAGCACTATGGCAAGCCTTTAGGGAAACTGTTTTTGATCGGCTTGAGGCCCAATAACAAGGAGGCCCAAGATATAATGCTCCCACGACCTTGAGACACATACTCGATTCATACCAAGGACAGTTATTCACCATTGGATATTATCTAACAGTTCTCCGTGTTCCAAGATGGAGAGCATGTGGGATATCTAACCATTCCTCGTATATAAGGAATCCCACACAAGACCGAAAGTAAATTCTAACTATAATTTAGTTATAATTTTCTGATTTGAACAATGGTATGCTAATGTTGCAGATCTTGTCTTTACGTATCAAATACTTGTTCTACCATATAAAACTCTATTCCATCTATTCGTCATACATATCTAGTTTTTTGAAGGAACACCTCCCATCTTTTTGTTAAAAATCAATATTGAGGATTGCACGAAAAATAATATAGAAAGTTTGGTCCAAACAATGGAAATCCTCATTTTCCACCCGGCCTCTTTTCTTTCCCGACACTTTATTTCCTCCCCCTTTCTTCTAATCCAATCACGATAATGTATGTATGCATACAAGTATCTCAAATGAAATACATATCATATGGTAGAGAAATATGGATACTCGTTTTTCCATACGAGGAGAGAAGTGCGGATTTTTTTAGTAAGCTCAATAAGAACTACACCTATATTATATAGAGATTAATTGATATGTACTATTGTATTACAATATAATATATCACAATTAATTATATTTATTATTTTAGATATAATTAAAGCAAAAATTAAATATAACTTAAAATTTGACTATTATGATTTATAATATAGTCGATATATTTAAATTAAATTCTACTATACATATTTTTTTAAATAAATTTAACGAACTTCTATATTAAAGGTATTTTATTATTATTATTATTATTATTATTATTATTATTATTATTATTATTATTATTATTATTATTATTATTATTATTATTATTATTATTATTATTATTATTATTATTATTATTATTATTATTATTATTATTATTATTATTATTATTATTATTATTATTATTATTATTATTATTATTATTATTATTATTATTATTATTATTATTATTATTATTATTATTATTATTATTATTATTATTATTATTATTATTATTATTATTATTATTATTATTATTATTATTATTATTATTATTATTATTATTATTATTATTATTATTATTATTATTATTATTATTATTATTATTATTATTATTATTATTATTATTATTATTATTATTATTATTATTATTATTATTATTATTATTATTATTATTATTATTATTATTATTATTATTATTATTATTATTATTATTATTATTATTATTATTATTATTATTATTATTATTATTATTATTATTATTATTATTATTATTATTATTATTATTATTATTATTATTATTATTATTATTATTATTATTATTATTATTATTATTATTATTATTATTATTATTATTATTATTATTATTATTATTATTATTATTATTATTATTATTATTATTATTATTATTATTATTATTATTATTATTATTATTATTATTATTATTATTATTATTATTATTATTATTATTATTATTATTATTATTATTATTATTATTATTATTATTATTATTATTATTATTATTATTATTATTATTATTATTATTATTATTATTATTATTATTATTATTATTATTATTATTATTATTATTTTATTTTATTTTATTATTATTTTTTTTTTGGTAAAGGTGTTATTTTTGTGTTTCATAACTATCATAACTAGAATACCACTATATATATACTTTTTAAGAAAAGCTATATATCATGAGTTACCTTTTTATCTTTCTCAAATTCAAGTTTTGCCACAGCTTTACTAGGGCTAATATGTGGATAGACGACAATAATTAAGTGTCGTTTGTACATCAAATTCATATGCACTCCCTTTTCAAATTCATAGATCAAATGAGTTTTAGCCACAGAACCACAAGGCCCCCCATTGATCCTCCTCAAGTTCTCATATCTTCATAGTACCTCATCTTGACTTACAAGGAAATTTTATGAAGTGAATATGCATGTAATTCTGGAAAAGGTTAAAAAGTAATATTTTTGATAATTTGAGTCGTTTCAAACTTTTGAAATCTGAAGGTTTTTTATTTCCTATAATATTATCATGAAAAATTGCAAAGTTTTGTGTTGTAGGTTGTATACCTTTTATATTTTGTATATTTTAATATTTATACAATGCAAATTTTGATAATGATATATTTTTTTTTTTTTTGAAGAAACGAAGAGGATAATTATAGAGGGATACATGTATATATCATTTCAAATAAACACATATAACCAAACATTTACACATTACAAAATTTATTTATTGGAAGTTTGAATCTTCAAATTAGTTTAGGGGTCCTTTCTTTAGAAGCCACATGTAATGTAAGGTAGGTGGTCCTATGGCGGTTCCATATATTCATTGCTGTTTCGTCGAAGATAGTGTTTGAGACAATGACAAATAAATATATACAAAAACAATAATGGCATAATGGCATTATCCTTATCATCGATGCATATATATCCAAAACAATGGACGTAATGTTTTGCAGAAACATTTTCCATGTGAGCCACATATTAATCATATCGATTTAAGTGGTTAATTACACAATAATAAATATATCAGAGAAGAAACCCTAATAAAATGAAAAGGAATTAGAATCTTGAAATAATATCCATTTTCCATTTTAGCATAAGGTATCGGCCTATATTATTGAGGGTCCTTATACAATATTGTTAAGGTTTTTGCCTTAAAGTTGAGGAAATATTTTCTCACATTTAATTTTGTATGGGGTATTTCTCATTGTAGCTAAATAATTTGTATGGAGAAAAATTATAGACAGAGTATTGATGGTAAATAAGATTAGTCTAATATAAACATATAAAATTTAAAATATTTGAAAAAAATCAAGTGTATCATTTTGATAAAATATTAAAATTTTTCTTATTTCAGAATTATAAGTGATTTATTCCCTTTTTCTTTTATCGTGGTTGATTTGACAATTAATGAAGGTGATGTGTCACTCTCTTATTTTTTCTCAATATTTTTTATTTACTTTTTATGTTAACTAAAATCTGATTAATTCATTTAAATTTTTGAAAATCAAATTAAACACCTTGGACAATGATAAATCCTACAATTTTTCATGTTGAACATCAAATGCCATTATAACTCATAGCTATCCATATTTTTCATTCAAATCATTCCTTCACTCTTTCTGCGTGCATGCTTCATCGCTTCCCTCTTAGCTTCCAATCTTCGTTTATTCCATCTTCTTTTCGTGTGCTTCATGTTTTATCACACGCCCTATTTATTTTTCAATTCCCGTTTTTTCTCTGTTATACTTGGTTTGCCTCTATGATTCTTATTTGTTTTCAAATGATACATCTTTATCTGACATAGTTTTTTTCATGATGTTTTGCAGCTTTGTTAACACTCTATGGCTCAGTCTATTGAAGTTGTCAAGGATATCAATGATTCAAAGGATTTGTGGAAGATAACTGTTAGATGTAAGCATCTATGGTCTGTGACAAGTGCCTCCAACAAAGAGCACTTTGAGATGGTTTTGGTTGATTCAAAGGTATGAGAAATTGGTCATATTTGTTTGATTACCTTTACAACAAAATTTTGTTAATGTAAATATTTTATATTTCAATTTTTTAACGTGATATGATTCAAGTCATTGTCCCACCTCATTTGGTTTTGAAGTTTAAGGTTGTACTTGCTGTTGGAAGTGCTTACATTATGCATAATTTCAAGGTTTTCAATAATGATTTCTCTTTTAAATCGTTTACTGCTGGTTACAAATTGGTATTTTATGGTTCAACTTCAATTAAGAAATTTGAAATTCCTGACATTCCTGTAAATTATCTGAACATACTTGATTTAAAAGATATAGTTGAGGGAATGTTTCAGTCTAATATGTTAGTTTGTAAGTTAATTGTATATTTAATATTATTGTTACTGTATATTTTTAAAGTGTGTATGATTCTAATCATTATTTGACATATCCTGTTTGGTTAGATGTTGTTGGTGGAGTTACTAAAATTTTCCAGACCCAAATGATTGCCGATAACAACAAAAACAAGATTGTTTTTACAAGAACTGATATGAGGTATGAAGTATGTTTATCCATGGCAACAACATCTTACGCCAGTTTATAATATTATGATTTCTAAATTTATCTAATTTGCTTTACTTACATGACATTGATTGTAGCAAATCTTTGGTGCAATGTACTTTATGGGGTCAACTTGCTATATATTTTTATGATTAATATAAGAGTTACAAGAAAGATGGTAATGTAATTGTTCTACTGTATAATGCAAGGATAAAGGAGGCTCAAGGTCTTGCTTTTTGCTGTTTGTAATATTACCTGATTTCATAATATCCAAATACATGTTTTTATTATTCAATTGTTAACTTTGATAACAAAAATGTGATTCTACTATCGCGGGAGGTTTTCCGTGGAGTGTATCTAAGGCTTGGAACGACACTAAGTTAACTATAAATGATGTTACTATTGTCGAGATTAATAAGCTAAAATAAATGTAACTTAGTTTTATTAATGCAATGCCTATTTGTGTTTATATTATTGAATTCAGATTCATGTATTTACATTTATTCATTACGTTTCTTTACTACATGTCAGTCTTAAAGATGATTTGCCTTTGTTAACATTGAAGCAAATTCCATTGACAGTTGTCAGCAAAACGTGGGAGGTTTCAAGAGGTAGTTTCGCACGAACTCTAGATGTGGCTGATTAGTAAGAATCACATAGTAGGATATGAGTTATTTTGTTTATTTATTTAAGCAAAATTTAGATTCATTTGAAGGGGTCGCATTTTGTAACATTCAAAGGAAAATACTCAAAGTACCAGCGTCAGAGAGAAACAAGTGAATTCCAGAAAAATGTATGCATGTGTCCAACTTTAATTCAAAGCAATTTATGTCTTCAAGTTTCAAAGTCTTATTTTATGTTTTTATCTTGCAATTGTCTTTGTTTTTTACTTGTTACATTTACAATTCAGTTTTTACCCAGTTCAAACACCAAAATTATACCAAACTTAACACAAAGTCTAGGATTCATGTAATCAGTTCTGCAAGTAACCTTTAACTAAGAGGCTAGAGATTATTTGCCAGAAATCTGTGCAAACAAATTGCCACGCCTAGTGGGACACATTGTGTTAAGTTATCATTATTTTGCATGTTGTTTTCTTTAACTTCAATATTAAGAGTGCATGATTTTAAGTAATGGTAGGAAAATGGTAGATCCTAAAAACACTAGTTCCAGTAGACACTAACCCCAAGAGGAAACAAAATTGCTTTGCAGTCCTCCGACATTAGTGTATCCATGTCAAGCACGATAGCTATAGCGTCAAATGCCCAAAGTAGGCCAATATTCTCACCAAATCAACCCGGTACTCCAAGGCTGCATGGGACAAGTACTTATGGGCCATATATGCCTAGTTTCACTAGGCCCATATTTAGTGGAGAAAGAATCTATGGAATGCCAGCATCTTTGATGACAGGTTTACATAAAGACATTTTGATATTTTCAAAAAACAGGACGTCGGCATTTTCACCTTATCATGGGTCGAGACCTAGGAACCAATTTGGTCATCCAACTGGGGTAGGTTTCGTCCCAAGCAATACCCACTTTCACGCAAGTTCTGTTGCTATTATGAGGTAGAAGATGGATGAAAGTAATCACAAAATGGTTAATATGCTTACTCAACAAATGAGTGTCATACTTAGATCATTAACCATAAGTTCGACTCAGGGTTATCAGCAATTGGAAACTCAAATGGCTTAGTTGAGGGATTACTTGGGTGCCCTTAGAGTGCCAGTTCGACCTGGTAGGCAACCCCGACCAGAAACATATGTTCAACCAAAAGAAGTGGTCGAAGAGAATATTGACCAGGAACTAGAGATTCTTGAAGGGGTCAAAGAAATCCCCAGGGTGGTCGAATGTCCTTCTGTCGTTGTGGTTAATAAGAACCAGAATGCTGACCATGTGGTTAGGCAGGTTCGACAGGATGCGATAGTCGGAGAGCAAAACTTAGAGGCTATTGTCGAACGTCTTATGATACGCAATGGGATGAATACTGGTTGCCACAATCCTACTTACTCTTCCCATTACCATATTTTATTTTACAAAAAAAATTACCTAGAGGATGGAAGGTCCCAAAATTTACTAAGTTTTTTGGTGACACCGATGAGTCAACAGTCGAACACGTTGCTAGGTATCAAACCGAAGCCGGTGATATAGTGAATAACGAGAATTTGAAAACAAAGTATTTACCAAATTCCCTTATAAAGAACACATTTACCTAGTTTACAACACTCCCTCCACATTCAGTTCATACTTAGGCTCAGATGGAGAGATTGTTCCATGAGCAATTTTATATGGGGCAGTCGAAAATAATCCTAACAGAAGTGGCAAGTGTGAAACAAAAAGCATCTGAGTCAATTGATGTCTATCTTAATAGGTTTAGGCTCCTTAAGGCCAGATGTTTTACGCAAGTCCCTGAGCATGAGTTAGTCGAAATGGCCACAACAAGTTTAGACTATTCTATTAGAAAGAAGTTAGATACTCAATATCTGAGGGATATGGCTTAACTAGCAAATAGAGTTTTCCAAATTGAGCGTTTAAAGGCTGAAAAAGCCAAAACTAGTAAATACCATAAGAAAGGGAAAATTTCTTACATAGCAGCTGAGGGCTATTTTTCAGACGATAATGAATCCATTAAAGAAACTATGGTTAATGTAGCTGAACTCTAGCTAGGACCTCCCTATGCTTGTAAATCTTTAAGAATGTCAAACAGGAAGAATCTTGTCGAAAATGAGAAGAATTCCAAAGCCATCACAAAAACTTACACTTTTGATATAACTAAGTGTGACAAAATATTTGATTTATTAGTAATTTACGACTAAATTATTGTGCCTCAAGGCCTTAAAAATCTTTTGTAAGTTTCATAATTTTCTCGGTCATAAAACATCTCAATGTGTCCTTTTCAGGGATTTGGTACAGAAGGCATTGAAAGAAGGCATGCTTCAATTTGGCAAGAAGCCAAAGATGCAGATCAACACAGATCCTTTGAAAGTTGAAGAGGCTTTGTATGTTGAGCCTTTGGATTATATGATGGTCGAAGCTAATGAGGGTTTCGATATGAGGGTTATGATGGTTAAAAATACTGAGGATTTAAACATGAAAGTTGAGGATAAGCTACAAGCAGTCTATCCTCAAGCTAATGAAGATTTGGATGACTTTCAAGAAAAATATAGAGTGAAAGGATCAAAAGCCAAGTTGTGCCTAAGATGCAATGCGGTGTATGATGAAAAAACAGTTGAAAAATATGAAGTTGCTAAGAAGAAGGCTCTTAAGGAACATGAGTCTCGAGTCCTAAGATTTGCGTTCGACAAGAGGGAAATCCTTTGATGCAATGAAGAATACCGAAGGCTATTTCAGCAGCCTCGACCAAAAACCTTTCTTCCTCCGTCCGACACCCCACAAAAAAAGGGTGGAACCAGTGAATCAAAAAGGGGGAAAGAGGCCAAAGTGGAAGGTAATTGATCAAGAGACTGAAGCTCAGGAAAAAAGGTTAGAATCCAAGGTTTATCAGGTTTCTCCTAATTATAAGGGAAAAAACCAATAACTAGAACACAATGGAGGCGTTACCATAGAAATAAGAAGGCTGCAAAAGAAGCCTCTACATTACAGTTGAAGCCTGTCAAGACTGCTGAGAATGTCGAAGCTGTGAAACCTGTGGAAGTTTTAAAATCTCTAGAAGCTCCAATTCAGAAAAGGTATTATCCAAAAGGGAAGATAAATGAGAAAGAGAAGATTATAACAAATCAAAGATTGGCTATAAGAGTATCTCCTCTAGGATATAAAGAGATAATGGCAACACAAAGAATATAATATACTCCCATGTCTGAGGATAAAGAGGAAGAAGAGGAAGCTGAGTATGATCATCTGCTTGAAGATGAAATGATTGACGATAACTACGGTGAAAACTTTATCATTAATTGTGGCATTATATCGATATTACCCGCGAAGTACGATAAAGTGTGGGAGGTATCTGAAAATGAGGAAGATTATGTGCCAGACAAAGCAGTTGATGAAAAGCCATAATGTTACTATGTTATGAATAATGGGTTGGCAGAGGAGCAAAAAGCCGTGTTTGAGAAACCAAGTCCAGGAATGTAGTATCACCTCGAACCTTTATTCATAAGAGCAAAAGTGGATGGTATGCCGGTGAACAAAGTGTTTGTCAATGGGGGGCATCTATAAATTTGATGCCCCATGCTTTATTCAAGAAAATGGGGAAGTATGGTGCAGATCTTCAACAATACAACATGGTTTTATCCAACTACGAAGGGAAAACCAGTAGCATACTAGGATTTATCCAGGTCGAGTTAGTTGTCGGTGCAACCACCAGATCGACATTATTCATGGTAATAAATTCCAAGGAAAAAAATTAATTTATTGCTAGTCCGTGAATGGATTCATGGGATAGGTGCAGTACCATCAAACCTGCACTAAAGGATATCCATTTGGAGAAAAGACGTGTCATAGAAAATATTGAGGCAGATCAGAGTTATTACAAAGTTGATGAGAATAAAAGTGGAAAGAAGTACTTCGACAAACACTTGGCAAACATTATGACTTGTGATGATGAAGTTTACGCTCCTAAAGAAAATAAAAATCATTTTCTAAGTTTCGATCCTGATCATGGATTTGTCTGGGACACTGAAGAAGCAATGGTGCCTAAGGAGTGAATCCACCTACGGGGTGGCCTGTGGTCGACGAAAAGGACTAGTGAGTCAGAAAGTCTCGCTCGAATTTCTGCCTATGTGGCTGAAAACAAAATAAAATTGGCTTTAAAGGCCGAGAAGTTGCAAAATTTGGATGTCGAAGCTAAATCAAAAAATCAAGAAGATGGCCAATATGGCCAAACAACAGCTTTAGAAATCCAGAGGCTAAATTTTTACTATGACAATGAGTCTTTGGAGTTCAAAAAAGACCTATTCAATTCAGTGCAGAAAATGCAAGCCCAAGACCCTTTAGAAGAAGTGGATCTTGGAGTTGGAATAACGAAAATACCAACTTACATCAGTATAAAAGTTGGGTTAGAGATGAAGTTTAAGCTGATTAAGTTGTTGAAAGAATACATAAATTATTTTGCTTGGGACTATGGTGAGATTCCTAGGTTAAGTCGAAGCATGGTGGAACGTCGTTTGCCCATTCAACCAGGGAAAGGGCCAGTGAAG